TTCCCGACTCCCGATCTCGGGGCCTGCTGGTCTCCAATTGTGCCTGACGCTGTGGGAATGGGCCACCGCGGCCAACTTCTGTCAGGCCTCGTCAGTCTCTGGAACTCCAGGGGCTAACGCCGGGCAAACGCGCCATTGCGATTTTTCCGGGTCGCTTTCCCGTAACGTTTTTTTTTGAGGCGCATGTTTTTTGCCAACGTTAGGTATCAGGCGCAGCGATGTCTCTCCCCCGGCTTACAGAAGCGTTTGGGGAACCAGTGGCGCGCTCTTTGGTTGCCCCTTGGCTCTCGGTGCGCACGCCCTGTGTGTCTACGCCCGGGCACGGGCGTCTCATCTGCGAGGACATGGTCCGCCACTTTCTCTGGCCCAACCCTTTCGGAGAGTGATTGAACTCGTACCCGGTCCTACCCTGACACGTCGATTAGCGAATTGGCCGTTTTCTGTTCGCGAGAGGGCGTCGCGGCCATCATATTTGCGGGTCCAGGTCCGTCGGTTTCGGTCCTGGGCCGTTTTCACTAAAGGGAGGTTGTCTCAAGGGAGTTCCGTCCACCGCCGAATGGTCCGCCCCTTCTCCTGCCCAATCTTTCTTCAGTCGCATCTCAGACTGCTTCTGCGTATGGCTGCGATGCGCTGCAAGACGTCGCCGCGCCAGTCTCGATCCTCCAGCAGTGCTTGCACTCGGGGCTCCTGCTGCCACGCGGCCGCTGCAGGGGCGTGGCGGCGTTCCGCCCAGTGGGCGGCCGTGGGCGCCTCCTGGGCGCCTCGGTGCCCCGTGCGCCAGATGGGTGCGGCGGGGTTTCGCCCGGTGGGCGGCCGCGGGCGCCTCGCGGGCGCCTCGTGCGCTCGCTGTGTCTGTCTGGGTGTAAGTCGGGCCTGTCCCTCCACAGGGGGGACCTTCAAAGATAGTCCAAGCATAGTCCGGGGAACGTTGCTTCTAGTATATGTTTAGATGTTCGTTTTTTTTTTGGGGGGGGGTATGTTTGATTTTTTGGCTGCGTTTGAATATTTTGGGGCTATGCTTCATTTTTCGTCCAAGATCGGCCTGTAGGGGGACAGGCCCGACTTCAGTCTGGGTGTCTCCTGCTGGGCGGCCGCGGGGCGCCTCCTGGGCGCCCCGTGCGCCGGCCGGGCGCGTCGAGGTTTGGCCTGGTTGGCGGCGGTGGGCGCCTTGGCTGAAGGCGGGCCTGTCCCTCTGCAGGGGGAATATTCAGAAGTAGTCAAAACATAGTCTGGGACGATTTTTTGTTGAGCATTTTTCGGCCATTTGGAAGTCTTTCTGAGTATCTGTTATATTTCGTCCAAGATCCGCCTGTAGGGGGACATGGCCGACCTAAGCCTTGGCGCCCCGTGCGCTTGCTGGATTCGTCGAGGTTTCGCCTAGTGTCGGCGGCCGCGGTCGCCTCGCGGGCGCCTCGCGCCGCGTGCAGTACCATGTGTCCATAGGAAAAACCACCCGGACCGGACACTTGGCGTTTCCTAAACGGCCCTGAGCGTTTGCTACACGGCCCTGCCCTGTCTGATTCCTTCTTTGGGTGCGTTTACGGAACGGCTTCGCGTGTCCGGGTGGTTATTATTGGGGTGGATGTTTTGCCCTCTAGTTGTGTCCACCGCACGTATGACGCCACGTTGCATGCACGCGAAAGGTCATGCCGCCTGTCTTTCATCACACAGCTTCCCCACAAGGCTTGCACCGCACAGCTTGCGCCACACAGCTTGCACGACACTTGGTCTGCACCAGAGGTCTTGCACCACATGCCTTGCGCCATACGCACCACAGCTACATTGTTTGCAGCCCGCATAGCCTGCACCACACTGCGTGCACCACATAGCTCGCACACCCAGAGTGGAGCAGTTCACTGTTTTGGGCCCGCGCTGACACGCATCATCGATATCTGGTGGACTGCGGCGCATCCCGCCGCCGTGTCTGGGTCGTGGGCGAGATGCTCGTGAGAGATGTCCTTTTGCTTTGGGGCGTAACCGCCCGCCGTGCGCTGGAACGTGAGCACGCGCGATTGAGGAGGAGGAGGATGCCTGAGACGATGGCTGCGACGACGTACGCGCTAAGCGCAGCGGGTCCCATCGTGATGATGCTGGTCAGGATGATGTTGACTCGAACATGAGGATGCTGGCTCGAAGGGGAGAGGGATGAGGAGGAGAAGGCGGAGGGGGGAGATGGGACCGCCGGGCGGCTCGTCCACGCCGAGTTCGTCTGGAGCTCGAAGGCCAGCAGAAACGGAGTTCGGATGAACAGCAACGCCCTGGGCAGTCCTACATCGTCGACGTCGCTGGACATCGAGGGACACAATCCCAGACATACTCGCGTCGTAAAACATCAGGACGCAGGTTTTTCGCTATTTTCGTCCCCTGGGGGCCCTCGCCAGGCCCCCAGGACCGTCAAAAAACAACTCAGGATGACAAACTGGCCCCAGGAAAAGGGTCGGGACTTCCGGGAACGCCGTCCTGAAAAAATCAGGACGTCGCATGTCTGGGATCAGCACATCAGTGCCACTGGCGTTCCCCCCTATCCGCGTTCCTGCGCTTCGTCGGGCCCGCCAAAGACTGCGTGGAGGGTACTTTCTGGCTGAGGCGGAAGCTCATGATCTCGATGGGCGCAGATGGTCTAGAGCAGAGATCGGCGCGAAGGCAAATGCTTTCCGACAATCGTCGTTGGCGTCGCCGCCGCCGCCGCCGTCGTCGTGCATTGGGTCCTTTGGGGACGGATTCAGCGTTTTGCACTGGTTCATTCTTGCGGCCGTTTCCGCTAAGGAGAGGCATGGGATCCGTCCTCCAGGAATCGACGACCTTTCGCCCTCGCGGGACCAGTAGGGGCCAAGAGGAGCCGATAACAGTTGAGAGCCTCGTGGGGAGACCTCGGAGAACCGATAACATAGCAAGTATGTCACATATTTGAACCGAACCCACAGGAAGCATGCAACACCGAATCGAAATTCGTCGTGCCTGGGATATGGTTCAGCGGGCTCTTGGATATTCGTTCGGATCTCGTGGGAAACCTCTCGGGGGCCTCTGGAGGCCGTTTCGCTGCCTCTTCGGGGCTTCGCTTGGGCCTCCAGGAAGCCTCTTGGGTGCTTCTTGGGGGCCTCTTGAAGCTTCCCGGGGGTTCGTATTCCCCCTCTGGGCCGTCTTGGGCGCCTCCGCGGCCGTCTTGGTGCCGTATTGGGCGGTCTTGTGGCCATCTCGGAAGCCTCTTCGGCCGTCTTGGAAGCCTCTTGAGTGATTCTTGGCCAGTCTTGCGTCGAAAGCTGGAAAAGCTAGAATCAGAAAAGCAATTGAACACTTCAGGAACCTAAGTGATTTTGCATCCTGGGACCCTCTTTGGGGTTGAGCGTTCTTGGTGCCCAGTGGGGGCCTCGTGAGCTGCTTTGGAACCATCTTGGGCGTCTTGGGGCATTCTTGGGTCTTCTCGGAGGCATCGTCGGCCCTCTTGGACACTTGTTTGGGCCCATGTTTGGTCGGCTGCGCTACTCGAGTGCGCTCGCGACACCCTAGGAAGTCCCCCGACATCCAGGGGATTTGCCCGCAGTCCACAGAAATCCTTGGGAATCCCCTGACCTTGCATCTCTGAATTTCTCGGGGCTGCATCAGCCTTGGGGCACTCCGCTACGTGCTGAAGCACGGTGGCGAATCTGTACAGGGTCCGGCTTGAATAAGGACCAGTTACTTTTCAAAAGGGGCTCGGTCGTTCCTTGGGCTTGTATGCGTTCCGCTATCTTTTTGGCGGCGGGCACCCCTGGTGTTCCTTCAGGCTTCGTAGACTTATTTGGACAAGCATGGGCATCGTTCCTTACTTATCGCTCCTTAGGCCAGGCCGAATACTGTACTCATCAACATCGGTGCTTGAGAAATCAGTGCCTGCATGGACCCAACGTAGTAAGTTTTGCTTTGCATCTGCCGCCGTGCCTCCAGCACGCAGTGGATAAAGCAGTGGCGAAGCGTCCTGGCGTGCCTTTACGCCTACGAAACAATGTTCTAATAACTGTTTGTGGTTTCCACGACATGTTTTTGAAACATTTCTGACTGGGACGATCTTGATTTATCACATCGGGCTCATGTTCTAAGAACACGGCTTGTTCTTAGAATATTTCTGGGTTCTAGAACATTTCGTGGTAGGCCTATAGGAATGCCAGGACGGTCGGTCCCTGCTCAAGTGGAGTGCTCCAAGGCTAATGGAGCCCTTAGGAATAAAGAGTAAGGTTGGAAGGGCCTGGACCAACACTTTCACAAGGATTCCCAGGGATTCTTGGGGATTTCTGGGGTTTGTCAGGGATTCCCCCAGGTGGCCCAAGAGGGCCCCAAGATGGTCCAGGCAGGCTCCGAATTGCCGCACGATCGCCCCAAGACGCCGAGATCGGTTTCCAGTCGGTTGAAAAGTGCGCCCAAGAAGACGTCCCAAGAGGTCTCCAAGAGCCGCCCCAAGAGGGCTCCGAGAGGCCAACACCAGTTGTTGTAAGGCTTTTCAAATGTTTTGGGGGCCCTCGACGTTTCGAGCTTCCAGCGCTCCATCACGGCCCAAGAGGCCCTCAAGACCGCCCAAAGACGGCCCAAGAGGCCCCCAAGAGGGCCCCCAGACGGCGCAAGCGGGCTCCAGAAGGGCCCCAGAGGCGCCCAGGACGGCGCACGAGGGCCCAAAGACAGCCCCAGAAGGGGCCCCAGAGGGAGATCACGAACGGAGCCTCCGAGTCTTCCGCCCCGGGCCCCAGGAGGCCTTAAGGATGCGCCAAGAGGCCCCGAGAAGGCCCGAGGATGCCCCCGACGAGGCCCTCAAGACGCCCCGCGAGGCTTCTGATGTTCCTACCTACTTTAGCCTTGATCACCAGGAATAATTTCGAGCACCAACAACGGTACCGAAACGGGAGAGTTTTCACGTGTCGGGCCCTGGGAGACACTCGTCCGACAACACTGTTTCGACACTCTCTTGACACTCTTTCCGGGTGCTCGGAACTATTTTTGGGGATGTGCTCCTCAATTACGATGGGAGCAACATGACGCGAGGCCCCCAAGCGGCTCCCAAGGGGTGCCACTGTGGCTCAGACCGTCGCCGTGTGCAGCCCGAGCCTTCTTTGCCAGGCGCGGCAGCCAGGGGCGGCGCGAGGTACCCCCCAGGAACGGCGGCCGCCGCGCAGCGCCGGGCGGCGATGCGCGCTGCCTTCCTGGGCGCCGCCGCGCTGCATGCGCGGCCCATCCTGGTGCTCGGAGGGCCCAGACCCCCTGAGGCAGTGAAAAAGTCATGGCGGGAGGTTTGTCGTTACTTTTGGCCTATGGAGGCCCTTGCCGGGCCGCGGGACTGTCAGGAGACGATCCGGGATGACAAACCCGGTCCAGGGGAATGGGTCGAGACCCTTGAGGTTCGACGTTATGAAACAAATCATGACGTCGGGACCCCCTCGCCCGTCTTCCCTTGCCTGGGGCCCCCCTGGAGACCCTCGTCTCCACCGGCGGATTCGCCTCGAAGTCCGGGTCCGAACGCGCCCCAGGAGAGGCCCGGGGGCCAGCAGCATCTCAAGGGATGAAAATCCACTCGGACCCGATACTTGGCGTTTACTAAACGGCCCTGGGCGTTTACTAAATTATCCCAGTGCGACCCTACCTAGGAGTTGGAGCATTTAGGAAGGCAACATCTACATCTACACCGACAGCTACATTTGCATCTACACCTGCATCTACATCTACATCAACATCAACAGCGAGACTCACATCTGCACCTACATCTACACCTACATCTACACCTACAGCAACATCTACATCTACATGTACACCTACATCCACAAGCTAAGCTAAGATGAGATAAGCTAAGCTAAGCTAAGCTCCGCTCAGCTAAGCTAAGCGAAGCGAAGCTAAGCTAGGCTGGGCTAGGCAAAGCTAAGCTAAGCTAAGATGAGATAAGCTAAGATGATATAAGCTAAGCTAAGCTAAGCTGGGTGAGCCCTGGGGGCGCAACTGGGGGAACCGCGGGGCGGATCCTGGGGGAACCGCCCAGGGCGAGCCCCACTGCCCGGCCCTTTAAGCACACCGAGCAAGAACCCTTCTAGGCAGAGCCTAGGTCGGGAACAGCCCTGTTCTGTTCGATTCCTTCTTTGTGTGCGTTTACCCAACGGCCTCGCTTGTCGGTGTGGTGATTACGGGGGTGGATTTTTTGCCCTCTGCTATCGGCACCTTTGGGTTTCCCCAGGTGCGGGCCTCTTGCCAAGGCGCGTCGGACCCGAACGAGCTCCTCGCGCAGCTGACGGCCGCACCCTACCTGAGACTGATGCGTCCCGACAGCGAGGGCCCACCGACTCGGGTAGCTACCCAACTCTACGTGGAGTCTCTGGATACAGTCGACGAGATAGGAGGCACGGTAGAGTTGTCAGGCTATTGGCGCATGTCTTGGACGGACCCACGGCTGAATTTCACATCGATTGATGCCGGTGGCTGCTTCGACAGTCTGCTTCTCTCGCTCGAAGGCAGTACCGTGAAGCCCTTGAAATCACCCAGAGTTTGGGTCCCAGATCTGTATTTCTTTACCGCCCAGAAAGAGTTCTTTGGGTCTTACTCTTTTCGACTGAACGCGGACGGATCGACATACATGTCCGTTCGTTACAAGCATACATTTAAATGCACATTCAAGTTTAATTGGATGCCGTTCGACGAGACAAGCTGTACGATTGGGCTGATGTCCTACACGGAGGATGCCGCCCAGGTTTTGTTGGGTCCCAAGGATGGCATCGCGATCGAGTTCCCAGTCGGGAACATGGTAACACTTCCGTCGTGGAGTCTCAGGGGCAACGGCCACTCGTTAGAGATGGCGCAATACGGCACGGGTGACGACGCCGTGTACTGGCACATGATGAATCTGCATGTTGTTCTCCAGCGCAAGTCCACTTATCACTTGTTGAACGACGTCGCCTATGGTATTCTCTTCGTGGCAATGTCATGGACCAGCTTCTTCGTTGCCCGGACGAACGCCCCTGCTCGGGTCGCCCTCTCGCTCTTGCCCGTGCTGACTATGGTCAACCACATCAGGGGCATTCAGCAGTCCCTGCCGCGCTCCGCCGAGGTGACCTGGCTGAGTTCGTGACGCTTCGCGCATCTCCACCAGCCCATTCATACACGGTGCCCATGAGAGCCGACGGGGGGAGAGAGGAAGAGACACGCAGAGCTAGAGGATCTTGGCTCATCGATGGCCTCCCTGGGAGGCTCTGTGGCCATCTCGAGCCGTCTTGGAGCGGTCTTGGGGCCTCTTGGGACATCTGGGGTATTCAGAAATCCCTGCCGCCCCGGCGCCCCGCGCCGGAATCCTCGAGCCGGACCCCTCGTAGGTGCCTCGGACATCGGCGCCCCGGCGCTCACCCGCCGCACCCCTCGTAGGTGCCTCGGCGCGGGCTCTGTCTGTCTGTCTGTCTGCCTCGCTCCTCCGAGGTGACCTGGCTCAATTCGTTCCTTGTCGTCAGCCTGATCTACAACATCGCTGCGGTCCTCGAGTACGGCCTGGTGTCCTACCTGCTGGGCAAGGAGGAGCAGCGTGCCCAGAGGTTGACCGTCCTCCGCGAGCTCTCAAAGCACCTGGAGCAGCACCACGAGGAGAAGGTCATCTTTTTCTTACTCCTTATTTTGCCGATCGGCGCGGGCCTCGCACCCCTTCCCTCCCCCCCATGGAGTAGATCTTGGCTGTTTCGGGCGCCCGCTTCGAGCGGGGGAAGTCTCCCCTACAGGACGCACGGTTTCAAACAGCCGCACTACGCAGAGGTCCAGAGCCAGACCCCCCCCTCCCCCCCTTCCGCGCAATGTCGAAACGCCGAATACAAAAACGCTTACAAGTCGGTACGTTTGACGAGCAAGACCTTCGGGAAACCAGTCCATGACGAGCTCGAGAAGGGGGACATCATCCCCGGCGCCTCAGACTCAGACGACGGATCGCCTGTTCATCACGCACCCTGCTTTGAGGAGCATTTGGACGAGACGGACCTGCTGCCGAGCCAGAAACGCAACTTGGAGGACTCGATGAAGCTGTTCGACCCTCAGAAGGACGGCTACGTCAGTAAAGAGGAGATGCGTTCTGGCCTACGTCATTTTAACATCTACTACACCGCGGAGCAGGTGACGGAGATTTTTGGGAAGTACCACGTGACATCGAGCAAGGGCATGCCGCGTGGCAGGTTCCTCATGTACCTGAAAGAGTTGCCTTCTGCTACTCCGACGATGGCCCGGGGGTGGCTGGATCAGCCGCCCTCCATGATCGTGGACATGTTCTTTCGGTACAACTATATCCTGAGCTACGCTTGTGCAATCGGTATCATGTTCTGCGTGATCGCTGTGGCGGACTGACCTATTCACGTGCGCGGCTGGGCGCACGTACGGCTTTTTGTGTGCTCCTTATCCTGCGCCTTCTCCTCCCCATCTTGCATGTCTGGCGATGTGTTCTTTGGTATGGAGTTTTCATGCAACCATTCGCCTCGCGTTTAGAAGGGTCTGGTCACGCCTTGGGTAGTGTGTGGACTTTCTGCCGGTCTTTGTGCGGCTCTCCGAGTGGCCGGCGCGATTGGCCGAGACTTCCTTGGGTTTTTTGTTTCACAATCTTTTCGTGCTGGGTTTCATTTTGAACAGAGCGCCGTGGTTTCCACACCTCCTCCTGCTCCTCCTCCTCCTCCCGCCCTCCTGGTCTCCCCGTTCCCTTCTCTCCGCGGCGCGCTCGGTTTCACTCGGCCTGCGTCTGGCGCCGCCGCCGCCGGCTGGACCGCTCTGCTCCGAGCTGTTTTTTGTGACAACAGCTTGCTGAACTGGGTGCTGTTGTGGTGGAGGCTTGAGCACACCCCACACTTTTGAACAGTGAGCGTTGCCATCCGTTCTGTCCTCCTACTCCTCCCTCCTCCTCCCTCCTGCTTCTTCGTTTCCAGGTGCTCCCCAGATCGGGATCAGCACCGGCAACGCCCAGACCGGGTGCCGGCTCTTGCTGTTCTCGGGCCCCTCTGGTGTCCTTGTCGGCGCCCGCGCGAGGCGACTGTGGTAGAAGAAGCTAGTTCTGACCGAGGGAAAGCGGAGGCGAGACATCCTCGAAAGAATCTGGTGTCCGAGCCGTTTCGCTTGAAACATCCTCACCTCTCGTTTCTGAGTTGGCCGGGATTGGCCGTTTCGCCTGAGACATCCCCGAAGATTTGGCCTCCGGGACGCCGCGCGCGAGGCGGTCTGGCCCGTTTCGCCTGAGACATCCTCGAAACTCTAAGCTCCGAGATGCCGCCGGCCCGTCTCGCCTGAGACATCCTCGCAACTCTGGGCTCCGAGATGCCGCGCGCGAGGTGGTCTGGCCCGTTTCGCCTGAGGCATCCTTGCTAACTTGGGACTCCGAGACGGCCCGCGCGAGGTGGTCTGGCCCGTCTCGTTTTTGACATCCTCGCAACTCAGGGCTCAGAGATGCCGCGCGAGAGGTGGTCCGCCACTTTTCGCTTGAGACATCGCGCAATTCTCGGCTCCGAGATGCCGCGCGAGAGGTGGTCCGGCCCGTTTGGCATGAGACATTTTTGCAGTTCGGGGCTATGAGATGCCGCGCACGAGGTGGTCCGGCCCGTTTCGCTTGAGACTTTCTCGCAACTCTAAGTTCCGATATGCCGCGCGAGAGGCGGTACGGCCCGTTTCGCGTGAGACATCCTCTCAATTCTAAGTTCCGAGCTGCTGTGCGAGAGGTGGTCCGGCACATTTCGGATGAGACATCCTTCCAACTCGGGACTCAGAGATGCTGCGCGCGAGTTGGCCTGGCCCGTTTCGCCCTTGACATCTTCCCAACTCTGGGCCCCGATATACCGCGCGAGAGGTGGTCTGGCCCTTTTCGCCTGATACATCATCGAAACCGAGATGCCGCTCAGCAGGTGGTCCGACGCGTTTCGCCTGAGACATCTTTGCAATTGGGCTCCGAGATGCCGCGCGAGAGGTGGTCCAGCCCGTTTCGCCTTGGACATGTTCGACTCTCTGAGCTCCTAGGTGCCGTTCGGGAGGAAGAGGTGGAGGAGGATAACGAGGACTAGGAGGAGATGGAAGGAAGGAGGAGGATGATGGAGCAGGCAGGAGGAGGATGGGGATGAGGAGGGAGGAGGAAGGGAGTTGCATGAGAGGACCCAACGGAAAGCGAGAGGTAGAACGGTTTTGCTTGGGACTTCCTTTCAATATTGGGCTCCGGGATGCTGCTTCCGAGGTTCTCCCGAGCCATCCTCAGAATGCTGAGCTCCGAGATGCCGCCTTGCGCACCGGGCCTTCCGCCCGCCTCAGACATCCGACGTCACGACGTCAGGTCAGACAATCGCAGGTATGCAAGCATCATCTTGTCATGTTCCAACTCGTCATGCCAGCCCGCACTGGACGGGGAGGCAACCGACCTTGGAAACCCTCATGGATTTTGAAATCCTGTTTGGGTATGCTGCACTCCGACCATACAATTGTGTGGTGTGTGTGTGTGTGTGAGTGGATTCGACCCGCAGTTCCTCGGTGTTGACGGCACATCGGTGCTAAAAGGCACCGTTGTGGATAGTCCGCCAGCCATCGAGCGATGTTTGCGCGTGGGGGCCCCCCAGCGGGACGCTCGACTCGCAGAGCCTCGGCGTTGATGACACACCGGTGTTAAAAGGCACCCGCTGTGGTCGGGCCGAGCGCAAGGGGGGGTAAGGGAAAGAGGGGGTTACGAAATCTGTTGCATGCAGCTGGTCTCGGCCCCGCCGCCGGGCCCGTTCCTCGATACACGGGCGCCTCCTGGCGCCGGGAGGCGCTGGGAAAATCAGCTACGTGAGCTGATTCTCTACCCTGCCCTCTGCTATCCCCCCCCTTTCGCTCGTTCCCCCCGATATTCAGGAGCGAAAGAAGGACGCACACGTACATGAATCCACGCTGGTTTCGAGAGTTCACATTGCGCGAATTTTCGTAGCACGCGGCCGGTTTCGCGGGTCAAGGGGCCGTGTTGATGTACATAGCTGGGCGTGCACGTCCTTTGTGGGCTGCCCAGATATGGATCACCCTCCAGCCATCGGGACCTTCTGGGCGTGGCGCGGCTCCCAGTGTGACTCTGCACGGACCGACCCCTTGCAGCCCGCTGCAAAAACAGACGGCTCCCAGGAGGCCTCCAGACGGCCCCCAAGAGGCACCCCGCGAAATCCCGACGAACATCCCAGAGGCTCATGACCCACGACCTCGCGGGTCACTGAGGAGTTTTAAGGGCACCAGAAATTCACCGGAGAGTCCCATGGACCCGTGAAGGGTCAACGGGGCGCCCTTGGAGAGTCCCAGTGACTTCCTGGAGAGTGTAACTTAGAGGATTTCGTAATTATAACTTGAACCTGCCAAGGGGAGGGGGGTAATAGCTTTGGTGATGAGGAAGAGGGATACGAGAGCGATATCGACGAGGCCCAAGGACGAGGACGAGGACAACGACAAATGTTGGGGAGCGAGTGAGGGGAACTGGGGGAGAAGATGAGAGGGGGAATGGGGAGATCAATAGAGATGGAGGTGGGCGGGAACTGGACGGATAAAAAGGGGACCGAGTGTGCGGTTGTGGGGAAGGGGTTGGGTGGTCGATGTGTTAATTGTCTTGTGGGCTGATCATTTGGTGTCTGAGAAGGGGGGGGGGAGTATCCCTCAACATGCTGAGTTTAATTTGGAGAACGAGGCGGAGAACGAGGAGGAGGAGGACACAGTGGAGAAGCAGGATAATCATTAGGAGGGACAAGTGGAGGAGGGGTGGGGAAAAGATGAGCACCATGCTGAAGGCGGAGGGAGAGTAGTGGGAGATGAAGGAGGATTATGACGATGAGGAGGGGGACGAGGAAGAGGAGGACGAGAAGGAGGAGGAGGAGGAGGAGGAGACGAGCAGACGAGGAGGACTAGGAGGAGGAGGAGGTGGAGGAGAAAGAAGAGACAGAGAAGAAGGAGGAGCAGGACGAGAAAGAGGAGGAGGGGGAAGAGGAAGAGAAGGAGGAGGAGGAGGAGGAGTAGGAGGAGGAGGATCGGGAGGAGGAGAGGGAGGAGGAATAAGAGGAAACAGAGGAGGAATAGTAGTAATAATAATATTCATAATATGAAGAAGAGGACGAATCGTACTATCAATACTGATCACAAGCATAAGCTGGAGGAGGATACTACTAACACTATTACGAATACAGGTTGATGGGCCTAAGAGGAATCATACGAATAATAATGGCAGTGCCACAAAATTATGATTAATAACATTAACAACAATAATACTCGTATCACTGATAACACGAATACGAAGAAGGAAGGGAGGAGGAGGACAAGGAGGAGGAGGAGAGGAAGGAGGAGACGGAGGAGGAAGAGGAAGACGAGGACGAGGATGAGTAGGGGGAAGACGATGAGGATGAGGATTGACAGGGTGAGGAAAACACGGAACAGGAAAAGGGTGAGGATGAGGATCAGGAGCACGAATAGGAGGACGAGGAGGAGAAGGAGGAGGAGGAACATGATGATGACGACGTTGACGATGATGTTGATGTTGTTGATGTTGCGGATGATGATGGTGATGTTGATGATGGTGGTGATGATGATGTTGATGGTGGGACGATGCTGATGCTGATGATGACGATGGTGATGATGATCAGGTGGAGGAGGATTAGGAAGTTGAGCATCAGGAAGTGTGGAAGCAGGATCTTACGTGCGGGTTCAGGGGCTTTCCGTAGCGGAAAGGGGCGGGGGCGTCCAGGGCTTTTTTCCCCGTCTCATTTTATTTGTTGTTGTTCTATCTTGCTCTCTCTCGCTCTCTCTCTCCTCCCTCTCCCACCCTGTTCCATCTCTCTATCGCAGTCCTCCTCCTCATCCTCAGCTTCCTTCCCCTCCCCCGACTGCTACACGCGGCAGATGTTGTCTGGGTGCCAGGACCCCTACCGTGGTTGCCATGTTGGCCAAGGCAGTGTGAGAGCGATGAATGAAAAGTGCACGCGCGTTCGGTGCATTTCGGCACGTGCGATCAAGCGTAACAAGCGTGCCAGCTGCTGAACCGCACGCCCTGGATGGGGTCTTCGGGGTACCGCAGCCGCGTGTTTGTGCTTTCCTTCGCTCAGTGCTGGACGTCACAAATGGATTATCCAGGACAGATTCTGCGTTTCGTCATCGCCGCTGGAATGCCTTCGCTCACGGAGGGCGCGGGTTTGGAGAGGTTTGCGCCAGCTCTTCGGCATGCCCCGAGGAATGCTTCGCCGCAGGCCGCCCGTTGTCGGGTTTGTGTGTCTGCGGGGCACGACGCGATTCGCGTTGCTGGTCTGGCCGCCCCGCTCGCCTCCGCCCTCCTCCTCCTTGCCCGTCTCCTCCTCCTTCGCCTTCTCCTCTACCTCGTCCTCCTCCTCCTTCCTTTTCCTCCTCCTCCTCCTCCTCCTCCTCCTCCTCCCCCCCTCCGCCCCTGCTTCCTCCCGCGGCAGTGCGGGCCAGAGTGCCGTGGAGAGAGGAGCGCAGGCACAGTTCCGGGGAGGACCTGCCCAGCCACGCGCTGCTGGGCCAGAGGGGAAACTGCAGCGCCCCGCACAGAGTGAATCTGAGTAGGCAGCCATCTTCATCCATGATGTCCGAGGAATGCACTGGAACTCCCCATCCTCCCCCTCCTCCTCCTCCTCCTCCTCCTGCTCCTGTTCCTCATCCTGCTCCTCCTAATCCTGCCACTGCTACTGATGGCATGAGGATCCGTCGGATGAAGCCAGAGTCCTCCTCTTCCTCCTCCTCCTCCTCCTCCTCTGCCTCCCTCTCCTCCCTCATTCTCTCTTTCCGGTCCGCGTCCTCCTCTCTCTTCTTCTGTTTTCCTCCTTTCACTTCCTGCCCGCCCCCAGCCTCCGACCTCCAGCTTGCAACCTTGCAGCCTCATCATCTTTCTTGTTTGTTTCCGTCCTCCTCCCCTCTTCCTCGTCCTCTTCCACTTCCCCTTCCCCGTCCCCCTTTCTCGATCTTCTCCACCCCTGCTCCCCCTTCCCCTTTCTTGGTCTCGCTCCCCTTCTCCCCCTCCCCCTCTCCCACTCCGCCGCCTCGCGCAACGCTGCGGCGGCTCAGTGCCGTGCGTTGCGCGCACGACCGACCCGGCTGCCCACAGCAGCAGATCGTCGCCAAAGCGAGCGATGGTGTCCGTCGAGGACTTCCAGGCGCTGCTCGCCCGGGTCTCCGCCCTCGAGGGCTCAGGCGGTCTTCCGCCTCGCTCGGGGGAAGGTCTGCGCGTGAGGTCGTCGATGTGAGACGTGTCCACTGCCCGCGGCCTCGCGGGCAAGACTCCTCGACCGCGGACCCCATGGGCACAAAACGCCCTTCGCCATGAAGGCGAGGGGTTCCCGAGGGAAACGGTCCGGAGGCGTTTGGCGCTTCTGGCCTCAAGGGGCACCCGGACCGTCAAAACATCGACTCGGGATGACGCGCTTGCCTCGGAGGAGTGTCTCAGGGCCCAGGACCCGCTTCAGACCAACGAGCATGCCAGCTTTTGCGCGAAGCGGAGGAGGAGAAAGGGGGGGGAGGTGGAGCAGGAGAAAGGGGAGAAAGAGGAGGAGGAGGAGGAGGTGGAAGAGGAGGAGGAGGAAGAGGAGGAGGAGGAGGAGGAGGAGGAGGAGGAAGAGGAGGAGGAGGAGGAGGAGGAGGCGGCTTTTGCGCGGACCCCTTCCGCGCAAGCTTGGGGCATGGGCCCCGGTGCCCAGCGCGCGAGAGGGAGCCCGGCAGCGACCACCGCCGCCACCCGGACGATGGGTTTCTGATCGACCCAAAAGGGGGTCCAGCTGAAAGGGGGTGGTGCACTTGAGAATTGTATTGCGTTGTATTGCAAGTAATGTTGCACGCGAAAATCCAGCAATACAATTTGCGCCCCGGAATGCGTTGCACGCCCCGTATTGCAACCCCACAAATCTATTGCACCAAATCTATTGCACCACCCCCTTGTCGCTTGATCCCCTTGAGGATCAGCCCGAAGGTTCCCAGACATGCGACGCCCTGATGTTTTCAGTACGGGGTCCCCATGTTCTCAGTACGGGGTCGCCCTCGTCCTGCTTCCCTCAGACCTCTCCCTCCGTGGTTTCGCTTCATTCATTTCTCTCCCCCCTTCCCCGTCCCTCCGCCCCATGCGCGACGTGGAGCGGTTTGGATCAACTCGTTTTGAGTATATGCCACGACCGATAGTGAAGGCGAATGGCTTTAACAACCCCCACCAAATCTCCCCCCGAGTTGGTGATGTGCCCCTCGAGACCCGAAGGGAACGGCCTATATTCCCAGCTAGGGGGGCAAATCGGCCAGTGGGGCCCAGGCAACGCGTCTGGGGATGGGGGTCGGATGCACGGTGCTCAGATTCGCCGGAGCCCAGACATGCGACGTCTTGATTTTTTCAGTACGGCGTCTCTTGAAGTCCCGACCCTTTCCCCAGGACCAGTTTTTCATCCTGGGTGGTTTTGTGACGGTCCCGATGCCCGGCGATGGCCTTCCGAGGGCGAGATTGGCCAAAAGCCTCCCGTCCTGATCTTTTTGCACGGCGCGAGCATGTCTGCGTTCGCGCCGCGTCGACCGGGCGGCGCGACGCCGCTGCGGGAGCTCAGGGTCGAGCGGCGGTGGTGGCCCTCCATCGGTTGACATCGAGCGATGTGCGCTGCGGGCAGCCCGCGGACGTGGAAGGGCGGGCAGCCCGCGGACGTGGAAGGGTAAACGTCGGAGGCCTGGAAATGGGCACCCACACCAACACATGGATTTGCCTCCACAGGGTGAGGATGATCCTAGATTCCGGTGTTTGTGGTAATATTTCGGTCACCTTGGAAGCCAGAATATTACCACCATTACCGAGATCGGGATCGTCTTCCCTCGGTGGAGGCTCAACGCCGATATTGATGTTGGTGTCAACGGCCTGCCAAAACGATCCACCGGTTGTGAGAAGACCAACGCCGGGGCCATCGCGACGGGAGCCCTCCGTTGGCAGCCGAGAGCGAGCCTTGCCCCTGTGGGCTCACACTTGTGACCTTGAGACTTTAGTCGGGCCTGCCCCTCTACAGGGAGAATATTGAAGAATAGTCATAGGACGATTTTGTGATTATTCTATTTACTATTGTTGAGTATGTCTTAACATTTTCTAGTTGTCGTCGAAAATCCGCCAGTAGGGGGACGCGCCCGACCTAAGCGTACCCGCGGAGGGTCAGAGGCCGAAGGATGTCTGAGCCCAGGTGGCTCCTGCGGGGGGTGTCCGATGCCCCAATGAACCCCTTCAGCGACGGTCGGAGACCACGAATGTAGCTATCTTGCATGCTTATTGCTCGTCTGTGGCACAAACGTCGATATAGATATCTATACACAAATTTCAGATAGACATGTGTGAAGCCAGGGTGGGGGGAGTGGGAGTGAGGGGACGGGTGATGTGCGTATATGCGTGTGTGAGTGTGTGTGTGTGTGTGTGTGTGTGTGTGGGGTATGTGTTGGAGTGTCCTTGTGCACGATTTTGATTAGCGAGAGGCGGATCGCAGGATGACGCCCCTCGCGCGTTCGCGGAACTAGGCGGCGAGGACGGCGGTGCCAAGAAGACTGGCGCCACCGACGCGCAGATCCTCAAGAAGGTCTCGACCAGGCCTCGCTGCCGCCGCCGTCGTCGTCACCGTCGATTTCGTCGTCGTCGTCGTCGCCGTGGTAGGAGGAGCTGGAGCAGTACCTGGAGGAGGAGGAGGAGGAGGAGGAGGAGAAGGATGGGGAGAAGGAGGAGTAGGAGGAGGACGAGGAAGAGGAGGATGAGGAGGAAGGCCATGACGAGGTAGGACGATGATGAGGAGGAGAGACAGAGGGAGCAGAAAGAGAGAAGGATAATGAGGAACGCGATGGGTGGTCCAGGAGAGAGAGAGAGAGAGAGAGAGAGTGAATGAGAAAAGGGAGCAGGAGGAGGAGGAGGAGGAGGAGGAGTAGGAGGAGGAGGAGGAGGAGGAGGAGGAGGAGGAGGAGGAGGAGGAGGAGGAGGAGTTAATGGAGGAGGACATGGAAATGGAGGAGGAGGAGGGAGGGGGGACGGCGAGGGGAGGGGGGGGAGGGGATGGGAGGGGAGGGGAGGGGAAAGGAGGGGAGGGGAGGGGAGGATGATGAGGTGGAGGAGCAGGATGAGGAGAAGGAGGAGGAGGAGGAGGAGGAGCAGGAGGAGGACGAGGAGAAGGAGGAGGAGACGGAGGATGATGAAGAGGAGGAGAAGGAGGAGGAGGAGGAGGAGGTCGAGGACGAGGAGGTGGTGGAGGAGGGAGGAGGGGGAGGATTTCCTCGGGGGCCCGAAGGCTGAACAGTCGGCGCGGACGTCGGCACAGCCGAACTCGAGGACGGTGTTTCCAAAGCCGTCGGCGAGCGCGGGCTTTGCGAGCAGCAGGAAGGCGACGCCGACGTCCACGACTCGGTCCCTGTTCTTGCCTTCGCCCAAGTCGTCGAGCTTGACGCCTGCGAGGTTGGTGCTGACAAGGGGTGATGCCTTCCCCGCGGCCAGCCCAAATGCCGTCCGCGATGCGCACTCGCGTGCCCGCCTTCCTCTTGATGGGCGGCATGTCGCACGTGTCCGTGCCCTTTTTTTGGCGCCGTCCATTGCCCGCCGTCATCTTGATGGGCGGCATGTCGCACGTGTCCGTGCCCTTTTTGTTTGCGCCGTCCATGGCCGGCCTTGCCACGGCCGCGCCTCTGCGCGGCTGGGAGGCCGTCGGCCCCGTCGTCGGGCGGCAGCTCTTGGCCGACGTCGGCGGCCCCAGCTGCCGCCGCCGCCCCAGCAGCTCCAGCTTCTGTGTCCTCCACCATTGGCACGTCGGCGTCGTGCCCCTCGCGCACCACACCTGCGCCCGCAGCGCCGCCGCGGCCGCGCGGTCGGCGGCTCCTGAGAAGCGCCTCCGGGGTGCGCCGCCACGAACGTCCCTCGGGCGGTTTCCAGCGGCGCCGTGGCGCGTGCTCCTGACATGCTCTGCGCGCACCCCTTATCGGTCGGCTGGCGGGTCGAGGGCGGCCCAAAAGCAGCAGACTGAAGCCAAATGGCATTGAAAAGAATGAGCAGATGGAACAGGAAAAGGGGAGTAAAGAGGAGGAGTGTATGAACATGGCCGTGCGACTGGGCGAGGAGCATTGCCACGCGCTCCTTTGCCCAGCACAGCCGATTCACCAATCGCGAAACATTGTCGCTGAAATTTGGCTCACGTGGTATTTGCCTTTTTCAGCAAAAGGTTCTGACCTGACTTTATGGTAGCGGAGCCCGTGTTTCACCCCGCTGGTTCCACTGCAGGAGTGGCAGCGGTGGTTGTCGCAGCGACCCCGGTGGACCCCGGCAACCACGACCCGGCTTACAATGCAACGTTACCTGATGTCCGACAGGCACGGTGTAACCTGAGCACGAATCCTTTTGCGAATGTGTACAGCGCCGGTTATGATAGCGGAACTTCAGGCATGCTATCACCGCCCCCGAGGCCATTTACTAAGGGATCTTGCTCTTCGAGCGCAGCGCCTCACTGCGCACTAGGGCGGCTGGTGACGGTAAGGCGCTCTCGACGTTACATATGAGTTACGCAGTGGCTAACCTGGTCTCGGTCAGAAGCCGCAACATGTATGGCGAGAGATTGTTCAATGAGTTGAAGGAAAACATGTGGACAGCATTCCAATGTCAAGCGAACGCATCGGAGCACGCTCCCAATCATCGCAGAATCTATACCGCCTACTGGCAGCACGAGAGCTGGAGAAGGTGGAGGCAAACCAATCAGCAAGTACAAGGCCGTTCAAAAGTTGTAGATGCTCTCGGTGGACCAGGCCAAATTCAGGGAGTGGAAGGAGAAGGTGCTGAACGAGCTTGCCCGCGTGACGAGCGGTCCTCGGAAATATTGAAACTAGTAGAACAAATGTGTAGCGAAGTGGCGACGCAGCTGGAACAGTGGAGTGCGCTGGTAGAGTCCATTTGAACAGTACGGGGGAGCATGTGTTTTTGATGTTTGCCGCTCATGGTCACTGCCATGATGATCATCATGACCCGCGCAACTGCTTGGTTTGACGGCTTGGCAGCAGGGCTGCTTCAAGGCGCCAGAAGCGTTAAACAATGACACGTACCAGACATGCTTCATTCGTTGTGAGAATTGGGCCAGAAAAAAAAACATACTTGACGCCAGCACTGAAAACAAAAACCACGAAATACCACGCGGATGGAGGCCACATGAACGATTCGCGGGTGGGGGGCAAACGCTGCGGAGTCCAGTGACCATGGCGAAGGTGGGATCTTTTGGACCTGGAATGGAGAAGACGCGAGTGGGAACGACGACGCGAACAACGGCGGCCAAGAGACGGGCAAGGGCAAGGGGACCGGGTGCGCGCTGCCAAAGACCGCCACGGGAGGAGCCGCCGCATGTTGGGGGGGGGGGGGGGGGGGGATCATCCAGGGCTGCCGAACATTACAATGGGGCGAAGGCAGGGGGGTGCAGGGCGGGGCGCCAGGGCTCCGAGGATTATCCACGGAGCTACGTCGAAGGAGGTCACAGAGGGGACCCCACGAGGACGTCAATGAATATATCAAGCCCCAGGATGGAAAGGGGCATGTCGGATGTCAGGGGGGGCGCGGGCCGATCGGCGCATAGGGGTGGCGCCGACGCGGCGAATAGGGGCCATTTCGGAGCGCGCTGCCCCTGGAAAACGCAACGAGACTACCCTGTGTCAAGGGGGTGGAGGGGGCGCAAGAGAACCCGCGAACATGCAGGGGCGGCCCTGGATTGGACCAGGGTGGCGCAGCGTCGAGATGGGCGAGGCCTCTGGTGCACGTGGAGGTGCCGGCCGCGTCGCAGCTCCAGGGCTGGCTAGAAGAGCGCAGGAGCGGCGGGCGCAGCGCCTGTGACCATGCGGGGGAAGAGGCGGGCGCAGTTAATTATCAAGAGGACGCGCGCACCGCAGGAGCGCAGCTTGAACTTCGACCATGGCGCCAACTGGGCCAACCGAAAGATAGCGCGCATCGGACCGGATAACATATGGGCGCAGAAATTCGCCGACTTGCAGTCGGCGGATGGGCGGCCCGAGAAGGAATGTCAGGGAACCTGGGCAGGGGGCCTGGAGGGCGGCATCGAGACAATAGTTGTCGCCGTGGGCGCAGGAGGCAACGGCGCGGTTGGGCCTTCGAGCGCGGGGGCCAGCTTCCCCGCCCGAGCCGCAACGGCAAGCATTGCAGCGCAGCCATTGAGCCAGTTATCAGACACCATTGGGAAAGGACATATCTTTAACTAAAGCGAGAAGGAGTCTATTGTGAGCAGCATTCCCGCCCAGGTAGCCGACGCGAGCGAGGCGCTGGGGTCTGCGCGCCAAATGGCAGAGACAGGGGCTCGCATAGTGTCAGATCGAGTCAGGGATGGGCGACCCCGCAGTTCCTTCGAGCACGGGGCAACTGGGCGTTCGACGACGATTCGTCGCAGGGCGGGCCCGCAACCCGCGTATTGGCGCGCGCAAGTATCGCCGGTGCCCCATCATCGCTCTTGTCGCGGCCTGCATCGAGGACGCGCGCGAAGAGACTGTCTAGCGCGCGCCCCGCGCAGCGGTGATTCCTAGAAACAGCAGCGCTACGCTGCGTTGTTGTCCGTGGGGCCTCCGCCGCGACCGCGGCAGCAGGCGCCCGATGTTCTCGCGGGTTTGCGTCGTTGGTCCCGGGGGCCTGCGTCGCGGGTCCGCGGGTTCGCGTCGATGGTCTCCAGGCTGCTCGCCCGCGCCCAATCGGGTTCGCGGGCGCCTCTCCCGACGCGGCCGCCGTCGGTCAATTTCGGGGGGCCCCGCGCCCGCTGCCTTGGGCCCCGGCCCCCATTTTCCCGGAAATGCGGCGCCGCGCCCGAAATCTCGCTCGGGGCGGCGGCCGCAGAGGCCCCGGCAATGGCCGTGCCCAAGTCGGGTCCGGATGCGAGGATGTTCCGAGACGTTTGCCCGATTCAGTTGGGGCGCACTCTGGGGCGCACAATTATTTCTTCGCGGGCGCGACGGGTTTATCGAGGGCGCGCCCGGCCAAATCAGGCGCCCTTGCCGGGCAGGGCGCAGGCCCGGCTGCTTGCGGGCGCGCGTTGGGGCCCGTTCGTTCCGGTCGAGCGCCTGGGCGCCCGGGCGTTGGATTGCCGGGGTCTTGTGTCGGCGCAGCATTGCGGCGCGTCGCGATGGCGCCGCGCCGCGGCGACTTCGCGTCGCAGGGGGCGGGCCCGAGGGGCGCTTGGGGGGGGCTTCGAGGGCGCCGGGCGAACGTGGGCGCGGGGCCACGGAGGCGCCAGGACAACGAGAGAAGGGGCCACGGTGGCATCGGGGAATAGCGGGAAGGCCATCGCGAAGCAGGCCGCGCGCGAATGGTAATATAGAGTTGCGCGGCGCCGTTGGGGGCGCGCTCCAGGCGCCGCGCGGGGCGCCGCAATTCTGATGGGCCAGCCCTGCTGCGAGGCGACAAGCAAAGGGAAATAACACGCGGCAACTTCCAGAATCCGGCCCCTCAGAGGAGCTGCGGGCCGGGGGGGGGGGGGGCGAGAATGGCGGCGGGGGTTAGCGAGGCGAGGCGCGAGGGTTGTCCGGGGCAGGGGGCTCCCGCGCGGATGTGATCTACAGACTCCGACTGAGACACTGGCC